CAATTCAACACAGTCTCTCTTCTCATGGAGCTCAGACATTAAGCAGGTACTTACAATAAGAATCTGACAAATGTTAGCCATGGCAGGGGGCTTTGAGAATGTAAAGAGCTCTCCAATCTGTTCAAATTTAACATGAACATTTATGAATTTGAAAGTAGGATTAAGGGGAAAGTACAACTAGAGTACATATTAAGGTCCAGAAAGCAAAGGCCAGAACAAATAGTGATTGATGAAATATTCCAAGACAATGGGAAAGTAATTCTAGTCATACTCAAAGCAGGGAAATGAATAGTGAAAGATTTGTCATGCTACTTGCACAAAATAGTAGAATGCTGAGTTGGTAGAACTGTTCAACTAATTGCACTTTTCTCCATCAAAGAAATTAAATGGACTGGATAGGGTTTAAGAAGTTACTGAAACCCCAGGGAGGAGGGAAGTTGTGCCTGAGTTTTCTTGAGATAATTCCATGTCTCTACAAAAACATGTCAATGATACAGCAGCAAATTCTGTGATTTTGAGAAACTGGAAAGAAAGGATAGAGTCGGGTAAAAGTGTGGTCATCTACTGTATCTTTTGGTAACTTGTTTATTCATCTTTAAAATGTCTTTAAAAGTTTCTATAATTACACATTGTGATAATCAATAGTGACAGCAGGTACTTACTATAAAAATATGACAAATGTTAGCCACGGCAGGGTGCTTTGAGAATGTAAAGAGCTCTCCAATCTGTTCAAATTTAACGTGAACATTTATGAATTTGAGAGTAGGAGTAAATTGAATATTAAGGTCCTATTTAAGAAATAGAGGTAAGCCATGACCTCAAAAGAGCTCATACTCAATTGGATGAAGAACACATGAACAAAAACACTATCAAACTAAGAGTAAGTATGATACTTATTATGAGTATAATATAATAATCAGTTCAATGAGAAAACTTATCCAGAGCATCATGCAATAATTGAGAGAATTAAAGTAATTAACTCTAGAAGCAGGAAGGAGGAAAGATGTCAGAAATGATACTTTATTAGATTGTAATTTTTGTTATTATCTCAGGAACAAATACTTATTAAGTATTATTCTGTACAGGAGATATTAATAAAGATATCTGACCACTTGTAAGTATTTTAAAAATAAAATGGAAAATATGAATCAGAAGATGCACAAAATCTATACAATCTATAACTAATTTTTTTCCTCTGTTCAAATACAGGTCTGTTCAAGTCTTTGGCTCACTTTCTTTCTTTCTTTTAATTTTATTTTTTATTTTATTGAATTTAAAAAAATAAATGGCAGCGGAATGCATTACAACTCTTATTACACATATACAGCACAATTTTTTATATCTCTGGTTGTATATAAAGTATATTGACTCCAATTCATGTCTTCATACATGCACTTTGGGTAGTGATGTCTATCCCATTTGTGTAACATATTGCAGACAACTTCAACTGGCAAATCACTGCCAATGAAGTTTACTTGTCTTTTATAAGGTGCTGTACTTGACAGTGATTCATGAAACATTTTTGTCAATGATTTGGATTAACACAATGCAACATAAAATTAAAGATGATAAAAACTCTGGGAGGAGTGGCTAAAACATTTCTTTACCGAAAAAAATGATGAGTCATGTCTGTGCACAGAGATGACTACCCAATAAATTTAATTGTTATCAGTAATAATTGTAAATGTATGTTTAAATGAATGATTTAAATATGGATGGAACTTTGGAGCCTTTCAATAACATCAGAACATAGACCTGTTATGACAAAGTATGATACTGATGCAAAAATAATGAACATCTAATACATAGTTTGCATTAACAAGAGATATAAAGTCATTTTAGCAAGGCAGCTAGCAATTATTGCCAAAGCCTGTACTGCTTAGATTTTGTTGGCATAATAAGTCCAGTACAAAACGCCATGGGCATTGCTTAACTAAAATGTAGATTATTTTGGCTGGGATTTACAAAACAGCAATAACATAAAATAGCAAAAAAGACAAAGAAAGCAACTTACAACAGCAGTAGAAGCAGGTGCAGCCAAGCGAATGAGGCATTCCCTACAGATGATCAGTAGGTACCAAGAGAGACATGGGAGAAGGCAAATGTGCTCTTGAGAAGTTTGGGATACTATAGCAATAGGAGAAAATGCAGGCCCTCAGACTAAAGTGGACCCTTAACCAGATAAATGACACTAAAAACAGGTCAGGGGGAAAAAAGGATAAAATAACAGTCTCTGAATTGCTAAAAGAACAAAAGAAAGGCAAGACACCATTCCAGGAGGTAATGCAACATAAAGAGAAGAAAAATAGAATACTCACTCTGGACGTTAAATAGAAGTCAAAAGCTTTTGACCTGAAGAATCAGAGTAGCAAAGCCATGCAGAGCAATGCATTGTTTCTAGTTTTTTGAATTCTCCCTAGAACGGATTTGGTCATTCATGAATAGGCTGTGTTTACAGAAGACAGTAACTTTTTCTCATCTGGGAAAATGAGAATTATGAGTTGATCAAATTGCATAACTACAGTGTTTCCCCAATCCTACTGCACAGTTGATCCCTTCCCCGTGAAACACAGAACTGAGAACCCTCCTTTGAATCAGTCATGGTACTAGATTCAGAGAATGTAACAAATAGAGCAGTGCTTTGTGCTGTGAAGAACTCACATTTCTACAGGTAATGGAGAATCACTGATGTTTTGAGAACCAGCAAGTAATGGACTAAGTTCTAGAATTATAGCTCACAGCAAATGAGAGTGTTTTAATGACCTAGTCACCTGGTAGACAAATGGCATTCAAAAAATGTAGGCCAGCTTGAAAGACTTGTTGAAATGTATTACATACCATGCATTTATACAAATCGAAATATATTCCTGTACTTTTTTTTTTTTTTTTTTTTTTACATTTTCATCACATACTGGAGATAGAACCCAGCATCCTATGGATGCTAGTCAAGCACTCTCCAGATATACATCCCCAGATCTTGATAATGTATTTTGAGAGAGAAACTCACTAAGTTGCTCAGGCTGGCCTCAAATTTGTGATCTTCCTGCCTCAGCCTTCCCAGTAGTTGGGATTAGAAGTATACATCTCCACACCCAGTTTATGCTTTTGGGGCATGGGCTACTGGGGATTGAACCCAGGTGCTTTACACTGTGGCTCAATAGCCACAACCCCATTTTCTTATCTTTTATTTGGAGACACAGTGTCCCTAAGTTGCTTAGGGCCTCACTAAATTGCTGAGGCTGGCCTCAAACTTGGGATCTTCCTGCCTCAGCCTCCTGAGTTACTGGGATTAAAGGTGTGCATCATCAGGGTCAGCTACACTTTTCTTGATGAGGGAAGTAGTTTATAGACCATTGCAGAGAATACATCAATATAATCCAAATTAGTTTCTAGTTGCATATTATATTTTCTTTGCAAAAAAATCTTAATAATATAAGAATATAGTTTGAATAAATTTTATAAGAATTTAATATAAGCAGATAGGAAACAAAATGTATTAAAAATGTTTATATATTTCACTTCATGAAAAAAAAATCAAATAAAGAAAATAATCCCCAATTTAAAAAAAAAACATCAAGAAACACATAATTTGAAATGAGTGAATTGTAAACTTATTTACATTGTTGCCACAAGGTGGTGGTGTAGTGTAAATATGGCAAGTAGGGTAATGATTCTTCCAGCATTTTCCCAGCATTTACTTAATTATATATCATGTATTATGCTCTAATCATATTTATAATTTGAAGCTTTATAAATAAAGGGAATTAGTCTATGTGCAAAATACAAATGGTAATTTGCTGATGCTGGTAAACCAAATGTGTTGGGGGATCTACCTCATTCTATAACTGCTATGTAATATTTCTTAGTGGGCATATATCACAATTCATTTAATGAGTTCTGAATTACTGCTTATTTAGTTGTCTTTAAATTTTTCACTAATGCAAAGACACCATAAAGAACATCTTTTTAAAATTATCTTTATATACATAGACAAGTAGATCTCTTTTTGCCGGGAGAAATTTCTGGCTCAAAGTCAATATGGTCAAATTGTTCTATTAAAAATGTCAAATCATTTAAGTTCAAAACCAACGTTGTATAAGAAGTTTCACATTTTCTCTTTTAAAATATGAAATAATATTATCATGGTAAATTTTATTATTACTTGATTAGAAGCAAATTGAATGTGTTTTAAAACTTTTGGTAAAATTTTGCAGTTTTTGTGCAGTGACTTATCTGCTCATACCATTTGCTCATTTTTCACTTTATTTTTCAGGGAACTGTGTTCTATTTCATTTAGATTCATCAGAGCTTGTCATATGTTATTAGATATTAGTCATTAGATTATGTCTATTAAAATATTATCTCTGAATTTTCCCCTTATCATTGAACATTTAATTTAACAACTTTCATTTAAAATTAGTTTTAATTCTTTCATAATCAAATGTGGAAATTTTTTCTTATAGCATCTGGTTTTTTTGTTTTGAAAGAGTTTTCTATAATTTAAAAAACCTTATAAAGATTCTCTCCTTTATTTGATTGTAATATAATCAAAGGGGTTTTTTAAAATAAAAATACAGTATTTTTGTACATGTAGAATTTGCATTTTTATCATTATCCAATAATCTTCATATTATGTATTGAGCAGATATTTTTGTTCTTCAGTGATTTGCACCATTACCTTTATCCCATACCAGCTCCAACTATAAATGTTCTGTCTAGGTAATAGTACTCTCTATCACAGTTGATCAAAATCTTAGCATTTTCACAAAAATAAATGCAGTAGATAAAAGAATTATTCCTACTTCACAAAAAGGAAGAAAGAGGTCAGAGTTAAGTGATTTGCATGTAGTCCCATTACTACATTGGCAGGAGATCTGTGCCTAGGAACCTGGTTTTTAAATTGCAAATTCAGCGTTTTGCCTATTCTTTTGCAAACTATGATTTGAGATGAACAGGAAAATAGAGTCACTTTATTCTCCTTTATCATGATTCTTTTTCAGTCACAGAGGAGTATTCACGCTGTAGCAGATTCCCATGCCAGAATGGGGGCACGTGTATAAGTGGGAGAACAAGCTATACCTGCGCCTGCCGGCACCCTTTCACTGGTGACAACTGCACTATCAAGCTGCTGCAAGAAAATGCTTTAACTCCAGGTAAAAGAGTCTGCATCCTTAGATTTGCTCAATGTCAGATACAGAAACATATTCTGAAAATATTTGCAAAGGGATATTAAGTGGATCTATTCTGAATCCACGTGAGGATTAATTGCAAAGGGATATTTAGTTGATCTATTCTGGATCCACGTGAGGATTAATTACTTTTCTGTCGGAAACTTATTGAATAACGTACCTGATTTACAAGTAGAAATGTCTTTATGTCAGGAAAATTTATATTTGCAGGAACTTTTTGACATTTTTATGTTGGTATTCTAGAGGCATTGTATTGAAAGTCCTACCCCCATCAGTTTTTCTCTCTTAGTGTGTATTAAGAGAAAATGCAGATGTACATATCTGACAGGTATAAACTCTCCTCGAACAAGTTGTTAAAGAAACACCTTTGAGTCATGTCAGATATGGTCATTTAAATGAAGCTTCAACATGTGCTTGGCAGTATGTTTTCCATGAGGGTTGAGCTAGCTGCCATTTTGATGACATGGGTATTATTAGAACATGCTCAAATGTATGGAATAAAACAAGATGCCTTTTTTCATCATGTCATTTGATAAGTATTGGTTGCTTTACATTTACTTTAATAGTACATTTCTGGTTTTATACAAGAAAATATGTGCGGCATTTAAATCATATTATCTTTAATAGAAGCAAAAAAAATTCAAATAGGGCTTTATTTAAATATGCTGCATACCAAAGAGTAAATTTTTTAGCCTGTTTTTTTTTTAACTGAGCCTTTGTATGTGCATTTGGCATTAATTACACAGAAAATTTCTTTTGTCTCCTTCCCTATAGTGAATATGACTTCATTTAGTTTCTGTTTTAGCCTCTAGAAACAGTTTGACAAGGTGCTGGAAAAATTGTTTCTACTTGATGTCAGCTTCAATTCTTGCAAGGGACTTTAAAACATTCTGACATACCATAATAATCATAGAATGCTTTGAATTCCTTTATCTCTGGGGAGATCAAAGAAATATGCAAATTAAACTTTGAGGCATTTGTATGAGGAAGATAACAAATGTTATTTTCCTCTATCCTGATCTAAATGGAGAAACTGAGGCTCTAAAAAATGAAATGATTTAGGGTAATTCAGTCAAGAGAGGAGGCAGACATTCAGGAACATAACCATTGTTAAAGTTGCTTCTGTAAGGCTTTTTGTAACTAAGATAAAATGATAATAATATGAGAAAAAAACAAAACAAGATACAAACATGAAAATTAACTCTTGCCATTTTTTTTCTATAACAGATTTTTCCAAAGGATCTTATAGATATGCACCAATGGTGGCCTTCTTTGCATCTCATACATATGGAATGACTACACCTGGCCCTATCCTGTTTAATAATCTGGATGTCAATTATGGAGCTTCATATAACCCAAGAACTGGAAGATTCAGAATTCCATATCTTGGGGTGTATGTTTTCAAATATACCATTGAGTCATTTAGTGCTCATATCTCTGGATTTTTAGTGGTTGATGGAGTAGACAAGCTTGCATTTGAGGCTGAAAATATTAACAGTGAAATACACTGTGACAGAGTTTTGACTGGAGATGCCTTATTAGAATTAAATTATGGGCAGGAAGTGTGGTTGCGACTTGTTAAAGGAACAATTCCAGCCAAGTTTCCCCCAGTTACCACGTTTAGTGGTTACTTGTTATATCGTACATAAGCTAGTATGAAAGATACTATCAATTTCACTGAGAAACAGTAAGTAATTTTATTATCTTTGCATGAACATCTCATCTATCTGGGATTTTCTACATTAAACAAAAACCAACTTTCTTTCTAAACTTAGTAAAGCTATATATTTGTTTATTTCACAAAATGATCTCAGTATATCTGTCTGTGGAGATGTTCTTGCTCCCAAAGAAACTTAGCGGCACAGAGAAGAGCATCTGTTAGCCCAACTAACTATTCTTACTTTTTTCCTTGATTTTAAGTCATTTCAATGTATTGTACAATGATAATCATACAATATTTGCAGTCATGGTACCCTTAATTTTTGTTACATTCTATGTATATAAATATATAACAAACATTTCCTGATTTAATAAACTCAAATAAATTACTAAAAGACAAAAAGTGCTTTTTAAAATTTTTTATTGTTTACTATTGTTTACTATTTTTTATTTTTATTGTTTACTATTTTATTACTTACTATTTTATTACTTACTATTTTATTTTATTACTTACTATTTTTTTATTTTTATTGTTTACTATTTTATTACTTATTTACTATTTTATTGTTTACTATTTAATATTGAAATATTTCATATATTTAAATGTTCATTCATACTCAATTTGGAATAGTTAGAAGTATGAAATAAGTTTAACTATTGTTCCCTTCCTATAATTAATGGATAAAATAATAATTGATACATATGGGATATTTCCACCTATTTCTAAGGATACATAAATGGATTATATATCTACCTCCATCATATAACATCTGTAGTGAGAAAAAATAAAATCATTTTATAATAAGTATCCTATTACAATACAAACAGATCTGCCTCTATTCTAATAAAGGGTAATACTGTAAAATGCTATGGATTATGGCATGCTCACTATGCCCTGGTTATTTTCTAAACAATTTACATTTCATGTCTAGTTGATTTCTCACAATAATTCATATAAGATGGTACTATCAATATTTTAATGGCCTAAAAAATTAAGCATAAAGAGATTAAGAAATGGACCAAGCCCACAGCCCACCCACTGAAGCAACGTCTGAACTGAGTCCATGCCTTCCCCATTGCCTCCCTCATTTGTCCCAAAATTTATTTAATAACCCCTTATCAATGAACATTTAGGTTGTCTACAATTTTTATTATAAGAAATTGTTCTAGTAAAATTCTTAAAAATTTTTGCCTTTTATATTTATCAAAGGATTTCTGAAGAATATATTTTCTTAAGTAATAGTAAAAATAATAATAAAAAACAATTGTCATTGCCAGCATTTTTCATGAATTAATTTATTTATGCTCACTATAACTCTATGAATTATACATCAATGTGAAACACATATTGCATGTTATTATCCTCTTTATGGCCCTGAGGAACAGAGGCACATAAAAGCAAAGATTTTTTTCCAATATTACATTAAATGATGTAGAATTTCAGGAACAAAGGACTAGCAATTTATTATTTTGATAGATACTACCAAATTACCCTAAAAATATGTCTCCACAATCTGTGGTCATAAAAAATAAATATAAAAAGAATCTTTATGCCCCATACACTCAAAACTCACATTTTTAAAATGTTTGCAGTCTTTAAGATAAAAACAATTATCTCCATATAAAAGAAATTTAAATTTAAAAAAAAATTTGCTTAAGCTGGAATGAATACCTCAATACAAAGACTTGTACACAAATGTTCATAGTAATCTTGTTAGAGCCCCAAACTGGGATTTGCCCACATGCTTAACAACAGATAATGAAGCAAACTTTCATTTATCCATGCAATAGAGCACTATCAAGTAATAAAAAAAGAATGAACACACTGAAATACATATGAATTTTACAATAATGATGCAGAAGTTTACAAACTGCAGTCTAACAAATCTTGGACAATCCTGCAAGTAGACAATTATCCTTGGGAATGTCCCATGTTGAGACAGAATAGCTAGGGCTTTGTATCCCAGCCTCATTCAGTATTAGACTCAGGCTTCCAGGGGAAAGTGTGAATTAGTAGCTGAAAACTGAAGTCTGGGTGAATATTCTACCCTGTTATGTGTAAGTATGTCATTTTCAAAAATATTTGAAAAGTTACTATACTTTCTTCAGTTGCTGCATAAAAATTTATCATTTAATGTTTTTCACCTCATTTCTTCAGGTACTCATGGGTTAAATACATAATTTTAATTTCTAAATATACTTTTCAATATATATTTTCGTGCTTTCAAAATACTGCTTACCTTTAACAGTATCAGAATAGAAGGAAGTAAATCATTTGATGATATTCATCATTGCTATGCCCAATTTATTGATTTTATAATTAGATAATTAACAGCATTAAATGGTGCTTTGATGTTTGAGATTTTAATTATTAACATTATTCTTTATTTTTATAAGATTTCTTAGAATAGATAAGTAGATATCAAATTTCTCCCAATAGCCAGGAGGCATTATAGCAGCTTTGAAGTTGCTGTGAACTTGTTTGGTATATTTAAATACCTAACCAATATCATGTAAGACAATTGAATAATGTATTTCTAATTGTCCAGGTCAAATTTATTCATGGAGAAGCAATATAGTACTGAGATTTTTCTGAATTTCTTTTATGGAGACAGCCCTCTATCTTCAACATTGCTTTGTAGATTCAATTTCAGAGGCTTTCTTTTTCACCAGACTTTCCTGCCTAGAGAGTTCCCAAAGTATACCAAGAACATAACTATTGATGACAATCTCTTATCTATTCATCAATTATTAACAAATTATAAATCATACATACCATATAATATAAAAATAAATATGGAGTTAAGTCAGTGCAAACAAATGCTGAAATTGAAATACATTATTCAGAGTCATAATATTGCTTACTGCAATCAATACCATGGGATTCTCTTCAACACAATGGGAAATTTATCTCTAAAATCATCCATCTCTTTTTTTCTTAACCGAACTTCTATATTTTATGAATCCATCCACAAGTTGAGACTTCATATTCAAATACAACTGTGCCTAATTTTTTTTCTTGTACTATTTCACAGTCAAACTCTTATTTTGGAAGAATGGGCTAATATTACTTAGTTATTAAAAAAGGATTCAATAAATCATAATCTTTTGTTATTTGCCAACTTATCCTACTTAAGATTTTTTTGGTTATTTTTGATCTATCTCAAAATAAATTTCTTAACTCAAATGAATCTTTGATTTGTATGTACTCAGCTAAATTATATGTAAATATATAAAACATTATACAAAACTATTTAAATATGACATATGTAAATATAAATAACTGATATATAAATATAATACGTAAGTTAAGGTATAGTCACAAATGTTATCAATAAATATATAATCTATATAGAATATATCATTTATAATTATAAATTTACATGTAGAAATCATTATTTATTGTCATTTGCATAAATAAATCCTATATAATATACGTAAACATAGATATATCATTAATTATCATTGAAAAACTATATAAATATGTCAGTGTTTATGATAAATATAAAAATCATTTTATATAAAATATGATTTTATATAATGTCTGAAGCATTTTTATGTTTACTTGTATTATACTTTTATATAACAGTCATTTGCATTTTGTCATTTGTTTATATCATATATGCATTAAGTTGAATAATATAAATATTATATGTGTATATATATATATATATTTATATATATAAAATATGTAAAGTTTTTATTATGCACTTGTCAACCAAATTTGAAGAAAATGGGTACACAACTTGGTACTTCTTTACAAATCTACTATAGTCTATTAATGCCACCATTTTACATTGAATAGTGCGGAGTCACATTCTTTATCTTCATCAAAGGCAATTTTAAATGTAGAAAAATTTTCATCATTAATAAAAATTATTTACATAGTGTTTATTATTTCAGGGTACATGTGAGACACATTAAAGCAGAATATAAACCTGCCCTCTGAAGTGTTCACAGTGTGATTGGGTTGCTCTCCTCTCAGAAAGCAGACACATTTGCTGCCCGTGGCTGCAGACACAGCCTCTCATCAATAAGCTGAGGAGTGTTATTAAGCACCTTCCCTTGAGTGCTTTTTCCACAGCTCAGTGAGAATTCTCAATGAGCTCTACTGCGTGTGTTTAGAGAAAACAACAATAGAATAGACTTATTTCTCCGCTCTGACATCCTAATTAAACAATCCAAAATTCTGTGAAAAGTACATATTTTGGAGTTTTTATTTCTTTTATTCATGAATTGTTTCCTGAGTTGTCAAAGCCCAAACTTTAATGAAACCCCTTTCCAGACAACAAGTATTTTATTCAGCTTGGCTGCCAACAAACAGCCATTGACTAGGAGGTAAACAACAGCCATTTCTCCCAACATGGGAGGCTTGATCCCAGAGTAAGATTTGGGTGTGGTGGGGGGGTTGCTTCCTGGCCTTTTCATGGTGTTGTCTTCACATGGAGGGGGTGGGGTATGAAGAACTCTGGTGCCTTATTCTTCTTATAAGGGAACCCATGCATTACTGGGCCCCCATATTCATGGTTTCATCTAACCTACTTACTTCCTAAGACCTCACCTCTAAATCTCATCACATTGGCAGTAAAGGATTCAACATATGAATTTTTTGAGGAAGCATGAATATGGATATGGATTCCACAGTACCAGGTAATGAACGTGATGATATTTTTAATGGTGCTTGTAAAACCTCATTTTCATAGTTTTAAAATATCAGCCTATAATACAACTTGGTTAAGATGGCTTCGTATTAATTAGGTTCAAACACATTTTTATATCAAGCTCACTAAAGATGACACTGAAAATATTTTATGGTGTAATTATACATGCAATGAAGGTATTTTTTCAATGTCTTATTACAATTCAAATACATATTTGGATTTCATTTTTTAAAACTCAAATCAGTACTTCTATCAATCCAACTTATCAATGAAAATACCACATTATACAACCAAAGGAGGGGGAATCTCAATTTTGCTCATTTTAGTTACTTGTGTAGATTTCGACTTATACCAAGATAAAATTAAAAATAGCTTTTAATTTCCTTTTTTGTCACTTATTTTCCCTCATTTACCTCTGCAATCACCATCACCATGATCAAAACATTTAATTGTACATAATTTGTGTACAAAGAATCACTTGTACAGTTCCTTATTTTTATGAAATCTGTGCACAGTGAGAATAATTTGCCAGCAAACATATGTAGGAAAAGTATTGTAGCCATTTCCAAAAAAGAGTCAAAGTGGATAGGTATGTAATTTTTTATAACAAAAAATATTAAATTTACATAAAGGCATTTAGTTGCTATTTATATATGTCAAGAAAATGTGCTGTCCTTATCTTGATTTCTTAGATATATTCACATGCACTGATTTTCATGGTTTGTCACAGAGCAAT